GTAGGGAAACAGATGCATTGATGACTATGCTGGTCAAAGATCAGTTTTGGGCTCCAAACTCCTTTGGAAGGCCTAATGAACTAGACCACCTCTGCCAACCTCTTTTGGTTGCGGATGCCCCTCTGGAAAGAGAGATTCTTAAGCTCCTTTGTCTTATCAAGTGGGTGCAGTGAGAGAGTTAGTAAAGAGGGAAAGCAAGAGAAAGAAGGGGTCAGACCTACAGAAAAGAGTATATTGCATCTACTGTCAGGTAGAAGCAAGAGAAATCCATCTATAATATACAATTTAAGAGATGGACTGGTCATTCATCCCCTTACTAAGATCTTTGCCCAAAACCTGACATAGTCTTGGGAAACAAGTTAGGGAGACCTTGAAGAATGGGTGGGAACATTGCACTCCACCTGGAGAACAGCATGACTATGGCTACTTCTTAGACAACAAACCTGCCACCAAGGAAAGTTGAGGACAATCTGGGTTACAGTCTAGGTAGTTAATTAGATACCTGTATATGAAAATAAAAATTCATGTTTTGTGACTTATTAGAGACTTTGTATACTGTTTTCCCCTTTGGGAAATTATAGAAAAATTTCTGGAATGCATAAAAAAATTTCCATATTCCTATGCAAATTCCATATTCCTATTACTGTTAGCAATTTCTATCTCTTAATTAAAAATAGGCCAACAGGGCCAGCCCTGTAGCCTACTGGTTAAAGGAGTTGGATCTCACATGACCAATCCTGGTTTGAATCCTGGCCTGAGCAGCTTGAAAAACATACCAAGCACATGTATCTACTTGCCCCAAATCCTGACAAAGTGGAGAAATGGAGGAGAAGGGATTGTGATATGACCACAGCCCATTGGAGGGTGCTTTCTCCCTTTCTCTCTTGTGTATGCATAGGTACACACTATATCAAAAATTATAAAACAGTAAACAAACAGCAAAACAAACCTTTTTTTTCCTAAATAATGACCCATTTTTATTATGAAGAGTTCAGAAATGAAAAATCACTCCAAATCTCTTATGAAAATAAATCTTTAGTGTTAGGTGAACATCATTCCTAATGGATACTGTGGATATGTCATACCCACAGACAGAATAATGACAATGAACAGCAGAAATATTTCTATTAAATATGAGCTATTATATATATTTTACTTTAATAGTATAAAAAGCTGAATTGAAATGTAAGGTATTGATGAGTCTTGGCTTTCTTTTCTGCACATGTTTTTATTTCCTAAAAGATTTTTCTAAAATTAGAATAGCTTCAAAAGTAATTAAGAGGGTAGGCTCATTTTTTAAAATTAAATTTTAGTTTTAGACAGTACTGATTGACTCCTTGCTATAAAAAAAAGGGAACAGCATCTCACTTACCCTTTGTGTCTCCTGTCTTTCCACCTTCTGATTTTTGTTCTGCTATATTTATTTGTTCTATTTTTCTATTATTCATGTTCTTGCCCTGTGCTACTTAGTTTAGTGTATTAACCACATGTAGCTATTGAGTTTTAAACATACATTTAAGTAAAATTAAAACTTTAGTTTCTTAGCCCTGTGCTACTTAGTTTAGTGTATTAACCACATGTAGCTATTGAGTTTTAAACATACATTTAAGTAATGTATGTTTCTTAGTTCTAATAGCTACTTTTTAAATGCTCAGTGCTAGTAAGATGATCACTAGTGGGATAGTATTGAATGAACCCTGTAGGTAACAGGTGGGATGGTGCAAATACAGAACTTTACCATCATTGCAGAAAATCCATGGGACAGTTTTTCAAAATGATGTTTCTGAATTCATTCATGTTTGAAAATGTTTCCTCTTTGCTTTTGTATTTCAGTGTATTTTAGCTGGATATAATAGTGTTGGCTCATATTTTCTTTCTCTCAAAACTTTGTAACAGAGTTTTCACTGCTGTTTCCTGTTACTGAATATTACTCTGAAGAAGGGCAAAGCTAGCCAATATTTTCCCCATTATATTGGTGATTTTAAACAAAAAAGAATGTCTAACATATCTTTTATTTATCTTTGATGCATAGAGGCTTACCTAGAATCTCACTCACTGTGGAATATTTTTGTATCTGTCTCTTTTTTTTTTTCCTGGAAAAAAGATGTGCTTTTTTGGCCTGCAGATTCTACACATTTTTTATCCCTGAAAGATTCATGCTTATTTCAGATCTTGAGATCTATTGTCTATTAAATTTCTCAAGTTGTCTACTTCAGGGATCCATTCTATTAAGTTACTTTCATCTGTCTTTCACATTTATTTCTCTAATTGCTTTAACTTGTTTGTTCCTTTTATTCTTTTAAAATTTGAATTTGTCATGATTATCTAAACCTTCCCACTGTCAGTAAATTAATTTTCAGGATTGCCAATTTCATGACTCCCTGTTTTCACTTATTTATTAATTCAATGGTGATGCTGATTTTAATTCTCAATTTATTTCCCTGTTTTCGCTATGTTGAATATCTATTTCTGTTCACCAAATTATCCTAATATTTAGTGGCTTAAAATGATAAACATTTATTTACTCACAGTTTCTATGGATTAGGAATAGTTTAGTTGAGTATCTCTTGCTCAGGTCTGTGATAGGCTTCAGTCCAAGAGGCATCTGGAACTGCAGTCTTCTCAAAGGCTTGACTGGGGAGAAGGAGGAATCTGCTTCCAAGGTCATTCACATGATGTTGACAGGAGGTTTCAGGGGCTCTCCCTGCCCATGGGCTGAAGACAGCAGTTTCTGCTCACAGCATGGCAGCTGGCTTTTCTTACAGTAAGCAAGATAGGGTGCCTAAGATGGAAGCTATAGTCTTTTTGTAACTTCGTCTCAAAGTGACATCTCGCCATCACCTCTGTGACATTGCATTTGTTAGAAGCATATTGTTAAATCTAGTCCACGCCTAAAGGAAGATTATATAAGCGTATGAAACCAGAAGACAGGGATCTCTAGGGGTTATCTTAGAGGCTGTCCACCACACCATCTTTTTCATTTTATTTTTGTTTAATTATCTGTCTTTGGGTGTCTTGGGGTCTTGATTGATTGTTTTATCCCCGTCCTAAGTTCCTAAGTTGCTCTGTTACTTGAAGCAATAGGAAGTTCCTGTTTCTCAAATTATATTTCCTTTTGGGTTAGGGATATGCA